AAACCTAGAAACATAATCGGGGCGAACCGGGATTCGAACCCACAATAATAGGTTTCTGGCGTGCCCAAGGGACGCAACTCTGCTCAGCGAATCGCGGCGCCTTAGACGACTGGGCCACCCGTGCCCCCTCGGCACAAGAAGAGATATGACATTGAAATATGAGATATGAGATTGTGAATAATCTCTGTTTAATGTCAAGTCTTTCCTTAAGAAATCAAACGAAGTTAGCGGGTGATATAGAAATGGGTTCTGTCCGTACGTCCGTCACGTTTCGTTTCCGGAGCATAACTCAGAAACCGTTCAATATTTTTTTCATGAAACTTTGCAGGTCTGTCAGGCACATGCTCAACTGGTGCCTTTTGCTATTTAAAACTTTTGGAAATTATAAAAAAAATATCTTTCCATGGCAACAAGTTGAACTTTAAGAAATTTATGAATTCTTCTTTTAAATGCCAAAACATTCAACTTGATACCCATTTAACCTGTTTAAGGAATCTTATAAGTCATAAAACAGTTTTTTGTGTGCCTACATTTTGTGTTTGTCATCATTTGGAGGTATCTCCCATAGCAGGGGAAACTGTGCATGCCTTCTACCAAGTTGTCAGAATGTGCTTCAATGATGGTTGAGGGTATCTTTCGTTTATTGACTTCATTATCAAATACTTCTGCATTGATTATGACAGAGATGAGTGTGTGATAAGATGGCATACTTCTCTATGAAACTTTTTCCAGTTTTCAGCACATGTTGATATGAAGACTTTTGAGCGGTAGAGTTTTAACATTCACATTTATAATATTGTCTTGTTTGTTTTTACTTATCATATCACATGGTATTGTTAAAAAGTCACAACATGTGTGTGAGGCACTCGAGGCAGCCTACTTCCTCGCAGTGAGTGCCGGTAACATGTATATCAAGACCTTGATCCCATGGATGCAGTGAGAGATAATTGTTTCTTTCAATGGAGATATTCCAGCTATAAGACAGCGGTCTGTAAATAATCGAGTCTGGACCAGACAATCCAGTGATTAATATCATGAGCATCGATCCTAGCAATTGGGATCGAAGACATGCATCAACCACGCCTGAATCAAGTTATAGACTAAAAAAATTCTCTACGAAACTTTGCATGTTTACCAGACAGATACTGAACTGGTGCCTTTTGCTAATTAGGAGTTTTATAATTTGTTTATGTTTTACGTTTCCATGGCAACAAGTTGGACTTAGGTTCTATAGGGTAGAGTTTGTTTCCGGAGCATAACTCAAAACCCATTCAATACTTTCCAAAAAAACTTTGCATGTTTACCAGACACATACTGGACTGGTGCCTCTTTCTATATAGGAATTTTAGACATTTATATATTGTTTGTGTTTCCATGACAACAAGTTGTATTTAAGTTTTAATATAGGATTGGTTTACTAAAGGAGTATAACAAATAAACTTAAATATTTCCTTGCCAAACATTGCATGTCTATATATAAAGCGCATACTGAACTGGTGCCATTTGATATTAAGGAGTTTTAGAAATGTTTATTTTAGAATTTCCATTGCAGCTATTTTGACATGGGCTAAGAGAAATGTTGGGTCAGTTACCTGGTTTGGGACCATAACATGTTAAAATGGGCGGGGGATAGAGATAACTTTGTCAACTATACACTTGTTTTAATCCAGGTGACCAAGAGATCATCTCTATATTATTATATCTTAAAATTTCTTACTTTTTAGGTCTTACACTTATGGTACAGCCCATGATAAGACAGAATGTTATTACTAGGCTACAGATGAGATTTCTGTATTGCAAACAAACTCAAGACACTTAGCCAGTATACACCGGCAATTCACAAGATGAGCAACACCAACTCGCCTCAAGTGACACCAACGAAGCGAACAGTTCAGCCACGTTCCTTATCCAGCACTCCAGAGAAGATACCAAAACTGTGTAACCTGAACAGCTTCAGTGAAGAGACTTGTTCAGCTTTGGACACCATTGATACCGCAATTTCTGCAGCAATGTTTAAGCTTAGCAATAATGCAAAGGATGATGCCATGAAGCACCTTTCACAAGCACTGTCTTGCCTCTCTGCTTTAAGAAAAAGTTTTCCAGCACAAATGGCTGTAGCTCAGGAAGATTTCAGTAACATGTCGCAGAGAATGTCCACACTCAACAACAGACTTGTTGGTATGGGAATGACACAAGTGTATCTAAGAAACGAACTAAGTGCTAAGCCAAAGGCAGCTGCCACACCTACTTTTCAGGAAGAAGATGCCGACGACGATGACTTCCTACTTGCTTCGGCTCTGGACAAGATCTCTGAGGATCCCCCGTCTTCTTCAAAGACTGAACCTGTTACAACACCAGTGGCTTCATCCCAGGAGTGAGTGAGTGAGTATGGTTTTACGCCGCTTTTAGCAATATTCCAGCAATATCACGGCGGGGGACACCAGAAATGGGCTTCACACATTGTACCCATGTCGGGAATCGAACCCGGGTCTTCGGCATCATGAGCGAACGCTTTAACCACTAGGCTACCCTACCGCCCTCATCCCAGGAAACCACCCATGACAGGGATGAACACTGAACTGAACCCAACATTTTTGGTTGATGACTGTTCAAATCTTGATAATTTAGATTGCTAAAAGAATGCATACTGCATAACATTTTTACCACATCAATACCAGGTAGATGCTTTTTTCAGACAGTGTTTTTTGGCCATTTTCCTTTGCTTGCAGTTGGTTGGTTTTGAATACTAAAATTAAGCATGTGGTGTCTTGTTGGCATACTATGTATTTTCAATTGTTTGATAGGCATTACTTAGAATTGACGGATGACAAGAGAGACACAATTTTATGGATATATACCTACTATATATATTCTGTACTATGTCCCTCATTCAGTCCTGCTTGACAACGGTATAAGGATCTATACCGAAACGTCGCTTTTCACAGTATTAAAGAAGTTGTTATCCATAAAATTGTGTCTATCTATAATGTACTTTAAGTTGCTGATTGTGCAAAATAGCATTTTTTGAATATTTTTTTTTTGTGTGTGATTACTCTTGGTTAATCAAACGATGCATACATATATTATAACATTTTAACCACATCAATAAAAACTTCCATGATTTTTCCCTTTGCTAGTAGCTGATTCTTAAATTAAGCATGTAAGTATTGCGTCTTGTTGACACACTATGTGGACTGTGTAGGCTCTTTGAACTGTGAGTCATTCATAAGACTAATCCTAATCATTTATGACATGATTGTGTTTAACATAGGGTGATTTCCAACATTGTATTATCTGCCCTATTCAGAGAGATGTTAATATTTCGAGTTTGAAAATAGGAAAATGAGGGCATATGTTTATATACACTTGTAAACTGGACTACCAAGAAAGTCAAAGCAGACTATGATATTTCACGATGAATCTGAACAAAATGAAACCTGGCATGATTGTGAATCGGTGGTGAGAGAAATCTAAAAGGATCGGCCGGAATATGATGATTCTAAGCTTGTGATCGAGCACATAGGATCATCGAAGGGAAGGCAAAAATAGCTTCAATCCCCGATGATCATCGGAGATGAGAAGTATTTACAGTAGCTATGAAATCAAAGGGTACATCGATGTGGATTCGAGTTGGTTGATGCATGTCATCGATCCCAAGTGCGTGGATCGATGCTCATGAGGTCAATCACTAGATTGTCTGGTCCAGACTCGATTATTTACAGACCGCCGTCATATATCTGGAATATTGTTGAGTGCGGCGTTAAAAAACCAACCAACCAACCAACCAACCAACCAACCGATGTGGATTAGTTAAGACTACTCGAGGAGAGTGAGAGAGAAGAGGCACCATGAAAGATTTGACAAGTTGTATATTGACAGAATTGTGTACACATATAGTCTCGACAAAGGCGAGGGTGTCTTGAAACATGGTGAAAACGGGACATGAACTACAGTGCAGACTCACAACCCGATGTCAATTTCAACGTCAATCAGCACAGATGGGGATGAAATTGACTTCCCCAAGGATTTGTCTATATAAGGGGTTTCCAGATATATCGAAATATCGATATATTGCTTTTGGTAAGCACTTAAAGTCAATAAATTGATTGTTAAATCAGTTTCCGATCAATAGTATCGATTTCAGTTCGATCGTATTTACCATATCATGCGATTGAGACACTGAAACACGCTCGGTGACGATAAGAGTTATCTGCTCTTGAAGTAAAATGGCGGAGGGTGACAGTCAAGTGAAGTTGTGACAAACTTGGGTGGAAAATCGAGTTTCATTTTCTTAAATTATTAGGGTAAAGAAAAAACAAATCCGTCATATCTCAAACTTTACTTTTTATTTGTTGTTATAGTTATTGCATTCAAAAGAAAATTCAGTTCCAAGGTTTATTCAACTCTAAAATCATCTAAAATGATACACTGAAAACTATCACAATAGTTTCTTTGCAATATCAATAGTTATCACAATAGTTTCTTTCGGTATCAATAGTTATCGCAATAGGGATTTCCAGACCCTAGTCTATAATGTGAATAAGAATAAGCTCAACAATGACTGCTTCACATATATTTGCATTGTTCACATATCTTTGGTCTTCTACTTTGGAACTGCACCATGGAAAGAGCTATTATTGATAGATTTCCTAATATGTTTTTGTAAATATGTATTGTGTGTTCGAAAACATGTACCGACAGTGCAGCTTTAGCTGTTAAGACTTGTTAAGAGTGAGGTTATCACGCTTGTGTGTTTGGGGATGGTTAATATCCTGCATTGGGAATAAACATTTCATTTAGCTAGCCTTGACGAGCTAAATACATAGAGGCTACTTCATGCTTTTTGTCGAATACGATTTATGTTTCGTCGAGTGAAGCCTCAAACCCCATATTGTTTCTCGATCTTCTTTATATTTCGTCGAGTGAAGCCTCAAACCCCATATTGTATCGAGATCGAAGATAGAGAAACAATATGGGGTTTGAGGCTTCACTCGACGAAATATAAATCGTATTCGACAAAAAAGCATGAAGTAGTCTATTTATTATATACATCTCCAATTTGTACATATTTTAAATTGAAATTTTGTCAGATCTTTCAACTACGAGAACGACGATGATATTTCTCGCGTCGTGACCTGCTCACATACGACCTGTCGCTTTTACTACGATGAAGTAAATAGTTCACTCAATTTATACTCATTTCAAATTGTCAAAGAAAACAAAATACAAATGTGAATCAAAAACATTTATTCAAATTGGCATTTTATCAATTTTTTAATTTATTATTGTATACAACTCATTGTCCAAACAATGTTTCGCACTAACGTCAATGCGTAGGAATACATAATAATCCATAGTCAGCTGATAGTGTTCAGAGAAAAACAACGTCGCACACTCGTTTCGCTTCGAAAGTTTGAACTTTTGTCAACAAAGTCAACAGCGTAAAAGGATATAACAAACACTGAATATGAACGTGAAAAGGTAAGTCCAAACATATTTTGTTGTCAATATTTTATGACGAACATTATTTATGCCATATTTCCAAGATGATCTTGTCATTCTATTGCAAGCATGGTCTTTTCGGTGGTAACTCGTCTTCACATGTGTTTGATATTGTCGCATTTGCAGTGTGTTTTTCGGAGGACATTGACCATGTCAGGTGATAGACATATGTTAACATTTCCGTTGATTGTATTTCCAGACAACAAGCTTGTCAGAAAATGTTGATTCTGAAGGCGGTTGGACACAGATTGCATCGCAAATCCACCCTGCATTGGTGCCGAGTCCGGATTTCGATCAGCTGTTGTGACTGTGCTGCTGGCGGTGTTACTGTTTGACAGAATGCGAGATATTCCCTTCTGCTTTTCAGTATTCATACTTGAGTAATTATTTATCGAATTCACGTTTTTGTGGCCTGAAATTTGGAAAACAAAATAATTCAAAATAACGTTTTATCCATATTTTGAAAGATGAATGAATGATATTTGTATTTCTCTTAAGAGTATTTTATTATTTATTTGGTATTTCATTACTTTAATGTCTTAAAACAACAAGTTTATAGGATGAGGCCAATAGAATTTTCAAATGTTTATTTATTTTTTTACCGATATATGTTCTCATAATATTCAAAATACCAACAAAATGAATTTAACTAACTTATACAAACACATTTTAACCATTGATATTAAAAAAGGAAACTAAATTTGTTATTGTCCTCAGACTTATTAGATAAATGTAAAATTAATGTATATTTTCACTTCAGTGGAATACCAACTTCAAAATTTCTTTCTAAATATGTTTTTTCCATATAATTTTATTGTTTTAATATATGTAGTATAAATATTTCATAAATTCATTTTTTTTGTTTACAGCTGTCATCTCACCAGCTATCTGAATGATGTCATTGGGAGAAACGCCGCTGTCTGTTAACTTCTGGACCAGGTGTTTCCTCATACTGAAAAAATCCAAAAATGATTCAGGTATATTCAATATCATGCCATTTATTTGATATTTATTACCTAATTTATTTTGACTTACTTTATGGCTGATTGGCATTGTATTTCCCAATATTATACTAAAGTGTTTATCCAAAACTAATAAAGATATTGAATATTTACCTGTATGGTGTCAATCTTTTGTCATCAGCTATGTCAGCACCTTCTGTCATAGCATTCATAATTCCATATAGCTTGTTGACACCTAGTTGGGCATTTTTGTACCAGTACGACTGTTCCTTCCTGTTGTTATTGACTGCTAGAAAAAATGGACTGTCTGGTGTACAAGAGGCTGGTGGTCGTCTTTGTCTGTACAATTTATATGCATTGACAGGGCATCTTTCCAGGTCTTCTGGTGTTGCATAGGCTCTTGGTTTTATTTGCCGTATATTTTTAGGATTATCCCCAGGTCTTGTTTTTGTTTGTCGCTCACTTATAAAGATAAGATACTCGGATCCATCATCATCATTTCTAATGTCAATGTCTCCCCATTTTAAATTTCTGGTTTCCTTTCCGGTTCTCATGCCGACGTTCAGACAACAAATCATCCACATGGGGTGAAGGAGGCTGTGGGGGTTATCACTTCCGAGGGTCTTGGCATCGTACATGGCATCAATATCCATATCTGACAGCTCTTCAGCAGCCTTTGGTTTGTTGCCTTTACCCATTGAGTTAAGTTCTTTTTGTTTGCATTTGAGTGTTTCTCTAGATCTTGCAAATGTGATATCGGAAATGATGTTAAATGTAGAACCCATTTGTTTCAAGTATCTTTGTAGGGAAGATTGGTAGCTTTTTAGACTGACTGGTTCATATTCTGATCCATCATTCTTTTTTACTGACAGAAAAAATCTTGACAAATAGGAATCTAAAGATACTGCATCGATTTCTTCAATTTTTCTAGTTTCCCCCTCAACCATCACTAGGTACTCACTGATAATTCTAATGTCTCTATCTGTCTTCTTTCTTGTGTTTTCATTTTCCAGATCTCGAAGAAACCTTGAAACATCATCATCACTGATAGATTGATACTTTTATCACCAAGTATGCTGTAATTTATTGCAGATAATAAATTATCCACATCATCTCTCTCTCTATGTTGTCGCTCATTTTGGCTAGCAGACGATCCAAGGGAGGTAATCATGAAATAATGTCCCTTTGTATCAAGGGGAAGTAACTCGAGATGAAAGTAGTTTCGGTTCAAACCTTTTATTTTCACTAGTGAAAATATAAGCTTATATTTTCACTGAAGTGAAATATCATTTTTCAAATTTATTTCACAATACCGTTTATATTTTCACTATATATCTATATATTTCATACTTATGTATATAATAAATAGTGTTTATTCCAAATATAAATGTCACATAATGTAATTATTAAATTCTGTTAATTCTGCTTAATTTTCCATGTTTCACAAACATTACCGAAACATTGAGAGTTTTCCCTGGAATGCGCGCAATAATATTTATTACGTCACAGGGTAAGTGATGTGTTAGTCGGACAGTGACAGTAGCCAAACTAGTTCCAACTTAAACATGTTTCTGATACAGTGGCGAAGCAACATATACGCAAAACAACAATTGGTTTGTTTTTTCTTGTCTTTCCCGGCAATCCATCGGATTGTCAAAGGGAAGCTACTCTAACCCTACTCTATGAGACGTTAATTTGTGGAAAAGGTTTCAAGCTACAGAGGTCTACAAGCACAGATATGGCTTCTGATCCCGCTGAAATCTCCAAAGTTGCCAAAACTTATAAAATGCCTTAGCTACGTCACAGTTAGACACTGATTTTCAGTTTATTAGACTGTTCTTTTGATAATCATAGCAATTATCCCAGTAGTTTCTCCAAATTTCCGATGGTTAATTCTGATTCGATCGCCGAATGACAAGGGCTACGCCATGTTCGTTTATAAACAGTGAAAATAGTCCCTACTCGACCTTTGATATTTGCATCTCTATATGCATATGACCCCAACGGATATCGTTTTTATCCCTTGGCTTTATCTTGCCAAATAACTCACCCATTATCACAGCTAAAAAAGTGTAGGTTTCCATCTTCCGGAAACCTTCCGGATACCTTCCCATTTTGGATCCGGCCCGGATACCTTCCGGAAACCTTCCAGATGCCTTCAGCAACCTTCAAATTGCTTGGTATTTTCAAGATAATTTTTTATGTGTTTCACACTTGAGTAAACAAAATGCATCCCCTAAGTTTTGACATTTTTTTTGGAAGGTTTCCGGAAGGTATCTGGGCCAGATCCCAAATGGGAAGGTATCCGGAAGACGGAAACGTACACTTTTTTTGCTGTGTATATTATGATGCCCGAGACGACAGAAACAAAATATATTTCTTTTGGACAATCCAGACTGGTTATTCTCTGGCATTGACGTATTATATATTATACACATCAATCTGACTGTGAAAGTGTTACTTACTCCTGAAGAGGCCCGTGCATGTTTAAGATAGTACAACCTGAAATGTTTTGTACCATCTTACAAGTTGGAGAAGAGTATTTACTTGTATTTTATATTGTATGTCATTCTGAAATTTAAAAAGATAAATATTGTTGGTGTGAATGTATACAAGGATGTAGTTGAACGTGAACCAAATATATCAATTTCAACAACTACATAGATAGAAATGTCTTAAGATTGTTTCCTTCTTACAGATAACGAACAATGTGATAGATGTGAACAGTTTCGACGAAGAATTCATGCAGGAGAACCTGTCATCCGTGGAAGATGCTATTTTAAATTACACCGGGATGTATGTTTCATTAATCCACCCACAGAAAGGTCAGGCAGACATATCAGAAAAGCAAAATGTCTTGAAATGTGTGAGACTCTAGCAAAATACGCCACAGCCTTGATGAATGGTACAGTACTCATCCACATTGCTGGCTTGTCAGAGGATGATTTCTACCTTGGCTATTTGCATGAAATGGTGGCCGAAAATCTGGATTCATTGTTGGAAAGAGACCAGCTTTATTCCAATGCATTCAGGAGTGTATCACTTGGAGCATTAGATCCTAGACACAGAGAATACATTATCTTTTAGTTCACGGTTCGTAACACATGTACTGAACACATCTGTAGCTCTAGATGATAGGGGGCGGTCGGGTAGCCTAGTGGTTAAAGCGTTCGCTCGTCACGCCGAAGACCCGGGTTCGAATCCCGACATTGGTACAATGTGTGAAGCCCATTTCTGGTGTCCCCCGCCGTGATATTGCTGGAATATTGCTAAAAGCGGCGTAAAATCAAATTCTCTCACTCACTCACTCTAGATGTTAGGATCCTAGAGGCCCCCTCTGAGGTTGTATCAGAGATCTTGATGTCAAAACCCCAAGCTAGGAAGATGACTCCAAAGATACGTGGAACAAGCTTCTTCAAAGAAAATAGCGAAGTACAATTCAAACGGTTTCAACCACCATCTTTTCTGGAGGAAGAACTAAACTATTATCCCGGAAATGTTGCACTGTACATTTGGGAGGAACTTGAACTTCGTGAATACTTGACAGCCTTTGCAAAACTTACTGCAGGAGGGTAACTTTTTTCTAGGAGTAGGAGAAAAGGAAAGGACATTTGAAAGATACAAAACAAAGAAAGTTGAATTGGAAGGCATTCCCGGGGGTTTTGTGGATGAATTGGTCACATATCTATTAGAGAAATTATTCAGCAACATGGCACTTTGCAACAATGATGGGGACTTTATTCGTCTTGAGAGTTCCAATTTTATTACACACTTTCACTACCATGAATTTGGTAAAATTGTCTTGGAATGTTCCATTGCTCCATTGAGTGGTATATTGTTTTATGACAACTCTGGACCTGTGTCGTACCAAGTGCAAGATGGCCAGCTCAGACAAGTCACGCAAAGGGAATTGTTTGATGCAATGACCAGAAAACACAAGACTGGTAATGCCATTCATGCAGTGGAATTTTGTTTTAACGATTAAGTCAATTTTTTATGTCCCTATTCCGCATAAGAGTCAAGGATACTTTGCTCTAAATTGTTGAAAAGATGTTGACCCATTAATAAAACAGGTTTCATCTATAAATTACTTGTAAGAGGGCGGTCGGGAAGCCTAGTGGTTAAAGCGTTCACTCGTCACGCCGAAGACCCGGGTTCGATTCCCGACATGGGTACAATGTGTGAAGCCCATTCCTGGTGTCCCGTGATATTGCTAGAATATTGCTAAAAGCGGCGTAAACCCATACCCACTCGCTTGTGAGAGGCGACTAAATTTGATTTGTGATGGGGCTCTGTAACGTTGCTGGGGCGGTCGGGAAGCCTTGTGGTTAAAGCGTTCGCTCGTCACGCCGAAGACCCGGGTTCGATTCCCGACATGGGTACAATGTGTGAAGCCTATTTCTGGTGTCCCCCGCTGTGATATTGCTGGAATATTGCTAAAAGCGGCATAAAACCAAACACACTCACTCACTCACTGTAACGTTGCTGAGTTTGTGTCACATTGTCTGAACTCAGTCAATGGATACATGATCGATTTTTTAAGGCAACCTTCTTGCAGCTGCAATATTGCCGACATCGGCGTTAATCACGTCTGACTCACTTAAATTACTGTCGACCCGTGAAGATTCCGGGGTAGAATAGGTCTTCAGCAACCTATTCTTGCTGTAAAAGGCGAATATGCTTGTTGTAAAAGGCGACTAATGGGATCGGCTGGTCCGGTTCGCTGACTTGGTTGATGCATGCCATCGATCCCAATTGCGTGGTTCGATGTTCATGATGTCAAGCACTCGATTGTCTGGTCCAAACTCGATTATTTACAGACCGCCGTCATATAGCTGGAATAGTACTGAGTACGGCTTTAAACAACAAACCAACCAACATATCTGATTGGTCAAGGCGCGGGCAATCCTTTTCCATGCATCCTGCTCACAGGCGGTGTCCAAATTTCATGCTGCCCGCTGAGAATTCAATCTTAGGTAACTCATCTCGAGTAAGTATCGTTGTGTTCCTGAACTCAAACGTTGTCTATCCGAATCATTGAGTAAAGGGAAGTAACTCGGTTTGTTTGCGTCGTTGAAACTGCGGACATGTACTCTGGACCTGTATGAACGATTGTCGGTGTCCGAGGGATACGTTGTCAACCGATCTCTCGGGATTCACACACAGGATACATCCTGTGAAAAGAGTGAGTGAGTGAGTTAAAATTTAACGTCGCATCGGCATTATTTCAGCCATATAGCGACGAGACCAAGCTAATATATACACAATTTAGTTATTTATACAATGTCATATTTAAAAACAATTGATGACAATTAATGGACAGAGCCTTTAATAATGTCAGTTGCTAATAGCATTACACCAAATTTAAAAACAAGCATTTAATTATTCACATACATATTTAAAATTTATTATACAGACCAATTTCTTTCAAGTAATTTATGATGAGATGCCCGTTGACACGGGAAAAGAGATCTTTTAGATTTACACTTTGATAATGTGAATCCCTTGCGATTGCAAAGTCCACACAGTCAAGCAATATATGCTTGACGGTGAACCTTTCATCGCAAGGGATACACTTAGGAGGTTCGTCCTCATCTGTCTTCAGCAGATATTCGTGTGTAAACCGACTGTGGCCAATACGACACCGTCGTAAAACGATCTCGTCATGTCTTGACTGACAACCCAAGTAGTTATGACCGATTGTTGGTTTCAATTCGTGTAGTTTATTGCTTCCTACTTGGGTGTCCCACCTCTTTTGCATGAGATCCCGAGTATAAGATTTGATGGTTGGTTTGAAATCACTGTACGGGATAAAGAGTGGAGACAACGGTTTTTCAAGAGCTGCTTTAGCTGCAGTATCGGCTTTTGAGTTACCTGTTATGCCTACATGACTTGGTAACCAGCAAAAGACGATGTCACATTGGCCAGTAGAAAGATCATTATAGAGTTCTAAAATGTCAAGGATTATAGGATGGTTTGAGGAGATACTTTTAAGTGCCTGAAGGCATGATAATGAATCGGAGAAAATGATGAAATTTTTGGATTGGTTTTGATGTTTGATATAGGTCAAAGCTGTAAAGATAGCTTTGGCCTCAGCAGTAAAAAT